TATTATTATTATTATTATTATTATTATGTTAGTATTATATATTAGCATATTGGCTGTGGTATTGCAATTGGTATTGGCTACTGAATGTTTGATATATTGACAGCCCTGCTGAGAAGCACCAAAGTCATATCGATTGCTCTTGCTGTCAGCTCGTCCCTGTCAGTGATGGTTGTCCTGGCGTCAGCGCCTGAGTGATTAATTGCAGAGTTTACAGACTGGACGCTTGGAGTGTGACCGTGCATTATGATCAGGCGTCTGTGCAGTCAACCCCACCCTCAAAAATGACAAGGCCCTTATTCTACACCTAGCCTGTCACTCACACCCATCTGTTCCTGTGGAGACAGGCCAGACAATCGCAAACCACAGGTCTGTGCCATGCACCAAACCACATGATCTCAGAGTGCATCTGTCACATGTTTCTCCAGTTTTATTTTACTGTTCAGGAATCATGCATTAAAATACGTTTATCATTTTAATTGATTTGAATTCATTGCTCATTTTATGGCCTCGAGCAATTGAAACGAAACTGAAGTCAATGTTCTGGTCAAATCATTCCCTAGTTTTTAAAGGTCCGCTACCTTACAAAATTGTTTCAATTTAAAGTAATGATATTGTACCGCTGTAAATGTTTGATACCATGGTACATTTTTAGTAATGATACTGTATTTCTCTGCTGAGTGTCTAAGGCCCAAAAACAGAATCTATTCAAGTATGTGAACGCAGATATTTCTAGCTACACAAGCTCAGTTTTGTGTGTTGTCTAACAAAAGGTATCAAATGAGGGGCGCTATATTTCATAGTAGCATAAACTGTCTTTTTCTATGTTAAGTTTACTCTTTTAGGTCAGTTACTGTAATGGCAGAGCTTGTACTGGGAGATAAATCAATATTTATTGAAAAAATAAATTATCGCTAATAAACTTGAGTAATTATCGATATTTGGCCTGCATTTAGATGATCGTGCAAGTTGCTGAAAAGTATGCTGCTGTCAAACTCAAAGGTCTTCATGACAAAATAAAAGTTTGGTTTAACTTAAAAGATGATGAGAAGATGACAGAGGTGTTTACACATACAAGTGTACATCTCATAATAATAATAATAAGGTCACAGAAAAAATCCAGAAAAAAATAAAATGGAGAAAACTGAATTTGGGAAAAAATACAACTGATTTCATGGCGCCGTAAATTAAAAGATTGCTTTATTATTTAGTAGTTATTCTTGAGGTCTAACAATGTGCAATACATTTCCTGGTATAAAATATTGTGATTAGTATTGATATTAAATAATATAATATTTTCAAGCATATCGTCCAGCCCTAGACACTCTGAAAATAATCTTAGCTGATCAAAGATAACTCAGTATTGTAACTTAATTGAATTCTAACACCTCTGGTTTAACGGCACGACATCTGAAGGTAACTCCAGTGCCCCCTTCAGTACTGAGGTATGTTCCCGTCCAAGCGCTCACATTTTACATAAGTACTTAAAGGGTCATATTATGCGATTTCAATTTTTCCTTTCTCTTTGGAGTGTTACAAGCTCTTGGTGCATAAAGACTAAAGTTGCAAAGACTAAAGTCTCAAATCCAAAGAGATATCTTCCAAAAGAGGACACAACTAGAAATCAGTGGTTAAGTTGTGTTTACAACACTGTCCCAGAACAGTTCAACCCAAATATTCAGATGTGTGCAGCGCATTTTATGGAGGACGAGGACTGTTTCCTGAGAGAGTAGACTACAATGCAGTGTCTGTTTCTATAAAGTGGGGCAATTCCAACTTTGGAAGGACAGTCTGGTGCTTCTGACTCACAGCCTGTAAGTAAGTTTTCATATTTAAAGAATTTGCCACTGACGATTCAAACGCAAGCTTTGAGCAGTGTAGAGCGCGATTATGAACGTGGTGCTGCTCAATGTGAAAGCCCGCACGTGATGGAGATTTACCACTGATTACCGAAGCGGCTTTACTGACAAGATGCACATTAAATATCGCATTCGATTTATTGTGCAGCCCTAATGCAGACATGGTTTTAGGTTTACGCAATGCGTAAAAAGACAGTATAAGTCATTATAATCTGTAATTAATTGTAACTAATTGGATGCAACAAGTGCCTCATTTATAATGGGTTTTAATGTTTTTGTCTCGTCGCTCTGGCTGGGACACGGCATCACAGTATGGTAAGGGGCTTAACATTTCCGTCACACACTTGAGGTATTCGGCCAATCACAAAGCACTGGATAGCTGGCCAATCAGAGCACACCTCGCTTTTCAGACCG